TATATAAAGTCTGCTGCAGTTTCCACGGTATGCATCCGATGAAGTGAGCTGTAGCTCACGAAAGCTCATGCTCAAATAAATTGGTTAGTCTCTAAGGTGCCACAAGTACTCCTTTTCTTTTTGCGAATACAGACTAACACGGCTGTTACTCTGAAACCTGTCAATTTATTTGAGCATAAGCTTTTGTGAGCTACAGCTCACTTCATCGGATGCATAAAGTGGAAAATGCAGTGAGGATGTTTTATACACACAGATCATGAAAAAATGGGTGTTTATCACTTCAAAAGGTTTTCTCTCCCCCCACCCCACTCTTTAGCTTATCTAAAGCAATCACTCTCCTTACAATGTGTATGATAAACACCCATTTTTCATGATCTGTGTGTATAAAACATCCTCACTGCATTTTCCACTTTATGCATCCGATGAAGTGAGCTGTAGCTCACGAAAGCTTATGCTCAAATAAATTGGTTAGTCTCTAAGGTGCCACAAGTCCTCCTCTTCTTTTTGCGAATACAGACTAACATGGCTGCTACTCCGAAACCTACTAATAAAAGGTTTCACCTATTTCAGGCTCAGTGCACTTCCACAGAAATCCGAATTCTGATCTCTAGAACTGTGCTTTCACTAAAGTGCCAGGAGAGCTTGCATGGGATCTTTTATACACTAAAACCTCACAGATTTGCCCTCTTCTTAACTTGCTGTATTAAAAATGCTGTCCCCTGCCCTGCTGCTCAGCAAAGATTTAACAGGCTAGGTGGAGTAGAGGCCTCTTTATTCTTGCAAAATTTACTACAGCACATTTTGAAGCAAATAATTAAAATTTCAGCTACCAAAATAAATGAACAAAATATATTTTGTGATGCAGTGTCCCTTTTTTGTTTTTATTTATCTTGTTCACTATTGTGCCAAATTCAAATATTTTAATGGGTTTTCTGCTCATTAGTACCAATTTGTGAGGTGTCATCGTAATTCCAAAGTTTGCTTGCAAAGACCAACACAATCCAACTAATAAGGCTTATGACTTGACTGCAATATCGTGATTGTTCTGTCTCTGCTCTGCCTCTATTGGGTAAAGTAATTGAAAAAATGGTTAGGAGGCAACTCCTGGTGCTATTGGGAATCCTCAGTTTGTCTTTATACCTGTCAATCTGGGTTCAAGCTTGTCTGTAATACTGAACCTGCTGGTTGATGACCTCCTTCTAGAGAGGGTGATCATAGTGCTGCTTTTAGCTATACTGGCAACCTTTTATCTTGACTTAATTGTGAAAATTGACAAGACGTGATAGGCTTGCTCAGGTGTGTTTTTGTTCTTTCCTCTCAGATAGATCCCAAGAGGCTCTGTTAGCTGTTACTCTGAGGACAGGGTTCTCATGCATGGTGGTCTAGTCTATTACCTCCCCTCACTTAAAATTCACATGCCTCACTGGTGCAGGTGAACTAATAAGTGTATGAAGCCACAGGGTAGATAGGCAGCCTGAGCTGCAATGGCAGCCATATATTGATGACACACCTCTCTGCTCTACACGTCGTCTTGATTTGACCCAGGTGGTGCAGTGTCTCGGTTTTCTCAGTGCCTGAACAAGATAGGATGTGGATAAGAGCCTGCTGGGTGAGGTTTAATCTAAACAGGAGAGAGATGGCACTGACTGCTGAAGGAAACAACTCAAGAACTTGATAGATTTCATGGCTGCTCCCATTATTAAGGAAATGTAGCTTCCAGTTGTTAAAGTCACAGTTCAGGATTCTGTTTTGAGCTTCCAGGCTACTGGAGTACCAAATGTTGTCTGTAGTCAAAAGTGTCTTTGTTACTGTCTTTATGTAGCATGAGAGTTGTAACAGTTTCTTTCTGATGTGAATTTTGCTGGAGTTATCTATGTCCAGTGCAACGCCCGGGGACTTGACTACTTAATGGGATTTTCCAGAGACAGCATGTCACTGCAGTGCTCCCCAGATTGCTCTGGTGCGCTATTCATTTCTGGGTACAATTTAGGATGCTGGTTAGCGTTGGGCAGAGGTTTTGCATTTTGGTTCTCCACCATCACCACCACCACCACCACCGCTGCTCCTGAAAAAAATCTTTCCATCAGCATTTGGATTTTTCTTCAAAAATCAAAATCTTTTGGGAAGAAAAAAATAAGCCAAGTGTTAGTGAACTGATGAAATTCGGACTGTGAGCCAGATATTCAAGCTGGGTTACTAGCCTTGTGCACCACTCAGCAAGCACCTCGGAGCCACAATCCAGCTGCAAAGGCCCAGCCCAGAATTCTCCCGCTGGAGGGAAGCTGCCTCTGTTGCATCTCTGTACCCTCTCCACCTGGAGCAGGGAGAAGGGACAGGTGGGGAGGGGGTGCAGTGGAGCAGCTTCTGGCGTAGTATTTGTTAAGGACCCTATAGCAGTGACACAACTCAGAAGTGGCCAGGTGGAGTTCTAAGAGGCATTGGGACCAGGGTTGGCTAGAAGGTACAGGAAATGATTTAAGGGGTGTCCTCAAACTGATCCATAACAGATGTAGAACATGGAATGGTAAGCTCTGTCACTGTAATTAATGAACAACAGAAATCATGTGTGTGAACGGGATACAAAAGCTGATGAGCCATGGGTTGCAGAAGTGAGGCCTGGCTGAATAATCAGAGGGGCATTGACAAATTAGTTTTGTGTACAGCAAAACAATCTTCAGAAGGTGAAAGATCAGGCAACCTAAAGGAAGTCTGTGCAATGCATTTACAGCAAAGATACGTGCACTTCATCTGTATAACTTACACCTGCTAAGTTCTGATATATTCAGCTGCTCAGTGGAGGGCTGAGCCTGCCTGCAGGCACAGGAGAGCAGGGTTCTGATTTTTCTGTGTATTATGCTGCATTTTCTTTGAACCTTACTATTTGGATAACATTCTGTGTGCCTCCACCACAAATTAAATGTTAACCCTGAAGTGTTACTTTTATTAAAGGAGCCAAATTGTCGTGTAGAGACCAAACCATCCAGTAAGGGGGATTGTGCTCATTTCTCCCATGTTTTGGGCTTGATCCTGCATTCCTCAAGCACCCAGAAGAATTGCTGAAGCCTGTGTGAATTCTGAATGGGATGAGACTCTTCATGTGGGATTAGCCCCTTGAGTGTCTGCACAAGCCAGAACTGAGCCCATAGTTTTGATCAGGCAAATTGCCTCTTGTTAAGATCAAAAGAAATTAATTCCCCGAAAACTTGAAAGTTTTCATGAGGCCCTGTTTGACTTCTGAGCAAAGCAATGTTTTGCCATTCTGTTGAGAGAACAAACAGTATTTGTTTTTCTCGTGTCGATGACTCGATCCTGGTACCCTACATGACACTGGGAAGCCTGGAATGCTGCGCGGGTAGTCTAAACAAGGAATGTCATCTAGCACCTCCAGAGGTCACTCCAAAACAAGCACATAATTCAGCCTGTCTGTCTCATCAGGCTAGGTTATTTATCAAACAAACATGGGAGGATTATTTTTAGCATGCTAACGCTAAGTTCAAGTAACTGGAATTATCCATAACAATTAACTAGCCGGAAACCCAACACATCTTAAATGCGGGATAGTTTAGAACTGTGGTTACCAAATAACACCAGTTTTGTTACTTCAGACTTATGACCCTTCTCCTATTCTCTATCTTTCTGATGAACTCAGGGCATAGTGTTTCTGCAGGGGCCACTATGCTGCTGTTGCCATTTCTCATCAGTTGCACATGTTCTAACCAGCAAGGGAGGATGAGTTGCTCAAAATCTATCTAATTGCTCACCCAGTAGTGTCCATTATGGGCACAAGCCTGAGCAAGCCAGGGTCAGCACTAGGTGCTAAAGCCAAGATCTTAATTTGTTCAACTGACGGACATTTGGGAATGGAACCACACATATGTTACCATGAAGTTTTCTAAACCAGTGCAGTTTCCTAAAAGGGATCAGAGTGAACATGGATGCAAGAATGCAAGGCTGCACTTTCTCAAAACATCACCTAAATGGGGGAGTAAATGCCCTTGTGGATCAGGCTTACTTGGGTTCTATCCCCAGTTCTGCCACAAACTTCCTGTGAGACTCTGGGCAAGTCATTTAATCTGTAAAATAAGAAAACTAATGTACTTCACATCAGAGCTGGTTGAATTATTCATTTTGACTAAATCATCAGACAAATTGAACCCTCTTTTCTTCATTAATAGCTTATAATTTCTGAGAGTGTATTCTTTACTGATAAGTAGTCAACGAACAGTCAGGCTAGGGGTTCTTAAACTCTCACAGTAAGCTGAACTTTTGCTTTTCATAGCATATGATTGGATGCTAGAACCCTGTTAAACATGTTCGTAAACAAATGACAGTGAATAGCAAATAATGAATGATTAGCACATACTCTTCTACATAAATCTGTTCAGTCACATGCAATTATGGGTATTTGAACAAATAGCCATTCCAGAGATGTACATGCAAATAAAAAAAAACCCAATTCACGGGAATTAGAGACACACGGTGAGTGAGGTAATAATTTTTTATTGGACCAACTTCTGTTGGTTAGAGAGACAAGCTTTCAAGCTCTCTCACCAACAGAAGTTGATCCAATAAAAGATATTACCTCACCCACCTTGTCCCTCTAATATCCTGGGACCAACATGGTACAACTGCACTGCATAATTCATGGGAATGTTCACAAATGGTGAACAAAAAGGCACAGACATAGTTGAACAGAGCAGTCACTGAAAATTCAAATGCATATTTGCAAACTTTCTGTTTTAGCAGAAATTGACTAACTCTAGGTGTGAGGAATAGCTCATTAATGATGACTTTGAGATCCGTGGCTAGAAGGTGCTATACAAGTCAAATTATTAGATAGTCTCACAGATCAATTGTTAAACGGGCTGAAAGAGGTTGCAATTTGAAAGCCCAGATTACCTTGGAAGTATGTTTTACTAAAATATTTCTGTGGTGAAAAATGACTTAGTACTTGGCCTTCTCGGATGTGGTGCTGCATTTAAAAAAAAAAAAAAACTTACCTCTATGAGCATGTACAAAGAAAGCACTGTAACTCCAAGGTTATACACAATGAGATGACCCCTGAGAGAGAATGCAGGCCTGTTCTTCATAAACTTGGTACCCAGCCATATGGAAAGTAGATATACTACAGTAAGGAAAAACGTGGGCAGGTAAGAATCCAACAGGAACCATCCTCTGACCCTGGAATCTGAACAGAAACAAATGCAGTGAGCAATTAAAAATGGCTTGCTCAGTACTGCTAAAAGGAGGCTGCCCATATTCAGAAGAGTGTCTGCTAAAAGCACAAGTGGGAATGTGCCAAGACTTGCCTTATCTCTGTCATATCCTGGGACCAATATGGCTACTATAACATTGCAAATGACCTGAGGTAACATTCCAAAGGATATGCTATGTATGGTAATGAGTTGACAGATGCTCTATTCATTTCAACATAGATCTGTGGTTAAAATTTAAATACAAAATGAAAATTAAATTAAATACCAAATCATAGTCTGTTCAATGGACAAATAGCCTGCATTTTTAATAGTATTATACATGCAAAAATGCACATTTGAAAAACTATTACTTCACAGACAGTAGCAACTTTCTTCACTTTTATTACATGTTTGTTATTTATTTACTTACTGGAGGGCTTTTGAAAACTTTCAAACACATTAAATCTATTCATTTGTCATTACTTTTTCAGTGTTTTGCTGATTATCAAATATATTTTTTTGTTTAAACCAAAGGCTTGCTCCTTCATTAGCTCACATGGTACACTTTCTTGATCCTGAAATAAAGCATTCAGGCCAAATCCTGCTTGCCTTATTCACACAAGTAATCTCATTTACAGTAATAAGAACACTTGTTTGAATAAGAAGAGCATGATCTAGCCTCATATGCCAAATCTGCAGCATCATTCTTTTCCAGGTCAACAAAGGGATGCCAGCAGCAAAGAATTATAATTTCCCTCCTGCCAATGGATCTGCAAATGGAGAGACTGAGTTTCCAGGGAAAGCAATCTTACTACAGCAAAATCCCTTCAGCAACAGACTTTATGGGTAAATGAAATTGCTTCATCATATATGCTATTCTCTTTCAAGTCTGTCCAATTTTCCAAAAGATATTCTCTATCTAAAACATGAGTTATGGTTTAAAAAGTCATACAGTATGTTAAAACAACCCTTAACTGCATTATTAATCATTTGGATTTGTTTAAAAAAAACTACCTCTGTTTCACCATTCATGTTTACTTTTTCTGTTTTGCTAAATTGGACAGTGAAATACTACGTGAGTTTACGGTTTCACTTTTTCACTCTTGCACAATACTTCAAAGCTGGGCTTAAATTCTTCAGGGGGATGATTAAATCAAACATTAAAAGGTTTTCTGGGTGGGGGGGGAAGATATTGTCTAATGTTTTGTTAAATGCATTTTTTCATCAGAAAATCTTATTTTTAACAACAAAATTTAAATGACTTAGAACTATCCTGTTGCGAACAGCAAGCCTATGGAAATATGTGTTCTTATTGTTCCTATCACCTTCTGCCTTCCTCCCTGCTTCCCTCTTATTATTTTATATTCATTAGTTGAATTTTGTCTTCAACTAGATTGTAAGCTCTTCAAAGCACAGACTGTGTCAGCCAGATCTATTAAAGCTGGAAGACTCTGCATCTGTCTTCCCCCACCCCCAACTGGCTCCCAAGAAGCATCTTCATTCTCACTATTGAGAGAGCTGCAGAATAAATCTGCCTAAAAAGTAATGGAGCTGCACACTTTGTGATTTCCTTGCTTTTGGCAGTTCAGATCACTCTGTGTTAGCAAGCTAGAATGCTATTTCCGTCCTTGGAATCTGAAAATGTGTTTATGATCTCTTAGATGTGGTAATTAATAAATATCCAGCATGTCTCCTGGCACTAGCATTGTCTGTTCCAAGACAGCATATTGTACGAAGACACAGTACCATCTATACAAGAACATAAGAGTCTTAACAGTTAGGACGGTATTGGAAAAAGTTCTCTGTCCTTCTGGAAGATGACCAGACATATTCAAGATGATCTTGGGCCATAATCCAATGCATGGGATGAGAGTACAAACAAAAGAGATAAGGCATAAGAAAATAAAGGTAAATTAAACTCAAGCCATACAAAGCTTGACAGAATGTACCTTTAGAAAAAAGAGAAAACACCAGTCTTGCCTTCTTTGGAAGACTGATTTTGAAAGAGAGTTTACATGTGCATACAGTCTCCAGAGCAAAGGCGTTCCACAGGAGACTGTGAGAAGGTAACCAGAAACTGCCTTTGCAACTAGAGGAAAAAGTAACTGGTAGAAATCCGATGATGAGCTGAGCTAAAGTGGAAAATTAGATAAGTGATGAAAGCAGCTTCTACTCTAAGCACAGAAAGCAAGTTTTCCCATTGTTGCTAAAAGAGCACAGCTCATGTTCTAACACTTTAATAACTGCAAAGTGACCTATGGCTGGATTAACAGGCAATTTAAACATAATTTTTAAGTCTTACTATTGGTTTTAGGTGCTCCCTCTTGAAATTGAAACTTGTTCCTTTCTCCCACTGCCTCTCCTTATGCGCACACAGTCACACTTGTTACCTCTTAGTAAGGGGGCCCATAAATGCTGGGCTCTTGGTTTTGATTGATTTTGTTTTCTTTTTAGAAAAACAGCACAGGATTATTGGGGGGAGGGTTGGTGGGAAATGTATGGATTTGACAAAAAGAATAAGAGAAAGAGAAGTTAACATTAGTGCCCACCCTCTGTCAGACTCCCAGTGCTCCTTTATGTTCAAACAGGTTCAAATGCATCCACTTACGAGGGAAAGTGTGACATACCATTAGTTTGACAGTTCTGAATCATTCCAACGACTGAATCCCAGACGAGAGCAGTGAGTGACACCGCACTACAAGAGCACTGGACCACTATATGTGGTGAGAGAGAGTTGTGCACAAGCTCAGATTCCATCTCAAACTAACTCACTTCCAATTAAAAATGGTGATGAACCAGAGCCATGGAGGGAAATCCTGACACCACTGAACTCAGTGGCAAAATAATGGCACTGAGACTTTACCCAGGTGGTTAGATATTCTGGGTTCTAACTCAGTCACTTGCAGTGGGGGCCTGTTTGTATCTGGGAAGAATCTGAATCTCTTAGTGGCTGGGGGTATGGATTTCTGGAGTGGGTTTTTGATGCTGTTAATATTTAATAGCAAAATACATATCATAAAGGGTATGTTAGTATGACTTCATCATACTTCTCCAAAATTATATCCCCTCTCAATATGTTGCCAATTTAAATTTGTTTTTGTACATGAATAAAACAAACTAAACCACTGGCTGTAGTTCCTGCAACCAGTGTCATTCCACAACACATAGCTATGTCATGATCCTTTCTTTTTTTACTTTTCTCGTCTCCTTAACATAAAAACTAATAAATGCACCTGCAGTACTAGAGAGGCATGGTGGAATCCTGTTTAAAGGATCAAACTGAGCAAGCCCCATTTTGATCCTTATACCTGAATGATCACTGTGTCCTGAACAGAGAGCCTTTCCTGTTTTGATATACATCAAAGAAAATCTAAAGCAAATAAGGGCAAGCACCTCACGGTAACAGTGTGGTATACAGGGATTGAACTAAGGACCTCTGGATCTAAAAGCATGGCTGTGCAGTTTAGTGGATGGGGAACACATGGCTGGGGCTGAAGATATTTGGGTTCTATGCCCAGTTCTGCTACTGGTGTTCTGGGGACCTTGGGCAAGTCTGGGGACCTTGGGCAAGCCTTTCTGTGCCTCAATTTCCCCCTCTGTAAAATGGGGATAATGATACTAACCCTCCTCTGAAAGTGCTTTGTGATCTGTGGATGACAAGTGCTATATAAGAGCTAAGCATTATTCTACTGCTTGAGTCAAAAGGGGGGTTAATTCAGAAGCTGCAGCCAATTTAAACTGCTTTGTGAGATGTAGCCATCAGGAGACAGAACCACACAGGAGCTTGATGGTACTCATTGCAATTAACGGCAGAGCTTCCATTGCCTTCCATTGCAGGATCACAGCCTGTGTTAGCTGAGTTTCAACGTCACCAATGGAAATTGCTTTTAGAAAGTAATGTTTGGTCTATAAAGGGCAAAAAACACTTTTGGTGCATCGATCCTGCCCCTCCAAATCCAACCAAGCAGGAGCAGACCGGGGGGGGGGGGAAGGGGGAGGCTGAGTGGCACAGCAGTTCAGCACTCCCTGGAAGTTGGCATCCAGGGTGACTGCCCTGCTTACCTGCCCCTAGAACTGCCCTGGTTGTCACCTAAATAGCTATTGTCTAAAAATAAAGCAAAATAAAAAAGATGGATTTACAGAGTAGTCGTGTATTTCAGATAGCCTGCTGTCAAACCAAGAGCAGATAATGGTGGAAAATAGCTAATAGAAAGAAATCTGTAATGCTTTGTTATTTTAGCCTTTTTAGGTAAGCTCACTAGAATTCATCAGAACTTCTCTCTCAGGGTCAGTCCAGCAACTTCTTGTGAGTCATCTGTCTATATAACCATTTTACAGGGTGCCATGTTGTTCTGCACTGTGTCATTATACATACACAGGCCACTAAAGCAAAAGTGCATGCTACTGTGTGGGACTGTAGACAAACAAGATTGTATTTTCAATGCTAGTGTTTGAGATGTGATGGAATTGATAGTATTGTCCTCTGAGTATTTTAAAACACAATTTGCCATTTGTAATTCCACTCGTTTCTAGTTGTAATTGTACTAGCATAGCTACGTCCAGTGGCTTAATTGGTCTGATGATTGCACAATTTAATGCCACAGGTAAATTCAGAAATACAGTATAAAATTGCACCACTTGGGCTGCCGTTTCACTGTTGAACACACTGCAGTTCTGTTCTTGCCAGCAGATGTAAGTAGCAGAGAGAGAGGAAAAGGAGATGAAAAGTAAGCCTGTTGCCAGCTGAGAAGAAAATAGCAACATGGAAGCATTCCTTCAGTAATATGGTGCTTCAAAATAACTTGTAACCTTACCCTCTGCTGGGTTAAACTAGTACAACAGGGAGAGATACCAGTTTTGAAGGGATTTAGAGGCAAATAATTGTTTCAACTTAGAGGTGTTCATAACTGAAGGCCTCTCAGCACATTTATAAAAAAAACAGCTAACAGCATATCTGTCGGACACAGGGTAATATGTCCAAGTCAAAGGGCTGTGTCTTTGGCTTTGGCCCTTCTGCATCCAACAGAGCCAAGGCGAAGGAAGGCTGTAAACTACCTTTAAGCTTCCCTGATCGTGGTGTCTCTGGGTGCCAATCTGTGTCCAAAGATGCAATTTAGAGCAGTGGGATCAATGAAAATTGGTCATAGTAAGGACCAGGATCAGCCCCAAGAGCTAGAGTAAGATGCCACTGAGGTCCTGCTCCCAACTGGTAAGAGGCGATTCAGCAATAAATGAGGGAAAAGGAAAAGTCCTGACATTTGAGCACAGGTGAACTCAGGAAAGTATTTGAAGCAACTGACATGGAAGTAGAGTGACACTAGATCCTGTCATGCTGAGGGACTGAAGTCCCATTTTATTTCTCCTCCAATAAGTTCCTTGGGATGTGTGTCTGTGCATGAATGTCTTTAGACCCATCTCTCTGAGCACTACACATGTTTTCAAAGGGTTTTGTTTCTCTGGTTGACTTGGGCTATTAACATTCAATTCCTTTCAAATGGCAGTCATTCCTGTGAGACTTTGCTTTTCAAATGCCAACCGTGAATCTCTTTGAATGAGTTGGTACAGGCAGTACTTGTTTTACTGAAGTGCATTCTGAAGACTCAGTGGAGCTATAGTATTTGCTATGCAGTTATATTAACCGCAATTCATCCATCTCAAAGACTTGGCTCTGGAGGCACTGGAAAGAGAAGGTTGAAAAGGCATAGCCTTTATGTATGTAAAAAGGAACGAAACCTTCACACATATGGTTATTGGACTGCATTAGCTTGCTAGTATTAAAGACCTATTTTACAAGTATTTTCTAGGAAGCCATTCTATTCATTTTTAAAATAGATTCAGGTAGAAATCCAGAAATTGTGCAAGCCAAAGTTTTGCAAAGATCATATATGCTTCACAGTTGATGGAGGTGATTGCCACTCTCAGAGGAATAAAAAAATACTACTTTCCAGTTTTTAAGAATCCTGTAACGGTTTTCCCTTTAAGGAAGAAATGTTAAGATTTGAAGAATCTGATGAAATGCAAGCATGAGGCATCTGAAAACGTATTATAATATAATTTATACTTTATGATTACACTATGCTATAGGTCTTCATATTTTGATTCAGGAAGCAAGTCTGACCTCCTCAGGTGATAGTAGAGCAAGTAGCCAAAGACCAGAAAGAAGTGACCTCTGAAGCTACACAAGGTTTGCTGAGATTTTGGATCTCATCCTGAGGGGTTCTGGATGCCCATAACTTTCACTGCAGTCAGCAACTCTCAGGATTCATCCGTTTGTTAATTAGGTGAATCACATGAAGATGGGATTATTATTACAGCTGGTCAAAAAATGGCATTTCCTTTGTGCAGAAAATTTGGAGATTTTGAAGTCTGGTTTCATACTGATTCAGGATGAAAAGTCAAAATCATAGAATTTTTCATGAAAAACATTCCAAAAATATTTTGTTTTGACTTTATCAAAATGTTTTGAGTTATTTTATTATAAATAATATGACAAATCAAAACAAAGTGGAAATGAAACATTTTGACCGAATTGAAACCAAACATCTCATTAATTTCCATGAAACTTCAGATCAAATGCACACATTCTCACAAAACATAGTGATTTTGCCATGCTGGCATTTTCTGATGGAAAACTATTCCATAAGAAAATTTTTGACCAGCTCATATTATTATACACATTTTTGAGGCGATATAATCTGAGTGACCAATACCATGCAAGTATTAATGAGACAGGAAAAACTCATATGTAGTGTCTGATTTGTGTTTATACGGCTTTCATTACCATAGCGTCTGAGTGCATGAAAACACAGCTACATATTATATTCTGTGAATACTTAAGGAGCGCTGTCAGTAACAGAAGTACGTTCTGTTTATTCTATAATCATTTTTTCCCTCCAGATTTAGTTATCTCTGGGCCAGGTTGGTCCTAGGATGTGTTTAGGGGTGGAAGGAAGGTGCTTTTCACGCCTGCTTACCCTAGGTATATGGCCAACGTATTAGATGGCTGAAGTGAGGGAAACTTTGTAGTGGGGTCAGTGGCCCAAATTTGATAAGTGGAGAAGTGGTTTGTAGTGCAACACTTTGGATATTATTTGTGGGCTAGAATGGAAATGCAGATGATGATGACGTAATGGGATATATCTGGGTGTAAACAAGTGGTGTGTGATTAGCTAGAGGATGAGCTAAAATTAAGGCTGTTTTTGACACTGTAACTTAGAGTTCCTGAGTTTTCAACAGATTTTTGGTTTTCTTTCTTAACTACACTATGTGCTAAAGACTTTTTTCTTAAATAACTAACTGGTGATTTTGGGAGACAATTCTGGAATGCCTCACTTGAGACACCTCACAGGGCTTGATAGGGTTGCCAGTTTTGGCCAGACGTGTTCCTGGAGGTTTTATCACATGACATAATCTTAATTCCCGGAGACTCCAGGACAATCCAGGAGACTCCAGGGCTTGATTTTCCAGAAGGTGGGTGCTCAGCACTTTCAGAAAATCCAGCCTGGCCTCTTTCCGGCATTTGCAGTGAGGCATTCAAAATTTCTAGTCAGCTTTGAACATCTTGGTGACTGTCTTCAGGAAAACAACTGCTTTTCTTATTTTCAGTTATTGAATCATCTTCAGATGCAATATAAACAGCTTTTGTTTGCACATTAAAAGATCATGCATTCTGAGTCCTGAAAAGCACACTTACCTCGAGATCCAAACATATAATCCACAAATGTGTTTATTTCCCAGTCCAAAGCCTTCAGCTGCTCCTACAAAGACACATGACAAATTGTTATCTCATGCCTCACATAGAAAATAAACCTGCAGAGAGCCTTTTTACACACAAGTGTCTCAAGGTACCTGACAACAATCATCCCCATTTTTAAAAAGTGCTCTTTTGACATGAAAGGATTTAGGACTCTATTCTGCTGTGGCTACACCCACAGCTCCCATTAACCCCATTAGTGGAAGTAGCAGTACCTACCACAATCGACCCCTGAGGAAAGCAATTTAGATGGAGATTTTAGAAATGAAAATGAACAAGTCTTTAAATGAACCTAATCTGTAGCAGGTGCCTTTTTTTGTGTAGAAAGCATACCTTGGCCTTCTTCAAACCCCAGCAATGCTTGCTTTTGTAGTTTTCCCATTAAAATCTGTATTTGAGAAAAGAGCAGTCAGTATCCCTGATCTGCTTTATGAAGCCACCTGCTGTCAGCAGCAATGTGATTGTGTACTAGTTAAATGTACTGATGCTCTGTTTTGAAGAGGGAAGATTTTTTTTCCACCTGCAAAATCTCTGTACTCCACATCCTTAGTCCCTCATCACCACAATGTGAGCATCTGAGTTTCATTATTTCTACTTTCCAGGAGAGGGACTGAGGCAAAGAGAGACTAAGTGATTTGCCAAAGGCCCAAGTTAATAGAACTACTCTGATTTATCCCAGGTGGCCCAGAAGTCTTTGGCAAAGTTGGGAATTGAAGAGTTCTCTCCTGAGTTCTAGTTCACTGCCTTAATTAGACGGCCATCCTTCTCACACCGATTGCTTCATATACTCCCATGCAGTGCAGTCCAATCCCTTGCAAGAGATTCCAGTCAAAGGGATCATTGAGATAAGGCAAATGTTGTTGCTGAAAAGTTTAGCCTTTTTGAAAGGTGCTTGATGATGGGGGCACTAGAAACTGGCATCTCTCCCGAGAACAGATACCAATACCAGCAGCCAAAGTTTTCCCTGCACTGAGCTGGAAGCGACCTCTGAAGTTGGAGGATAGTTCCAGCCTGGGCTGGGGCTTTCTGCTGAGATTGCCAGCAAGATACCTGCTGTGCTGGTGGGTTGTGAAACAGAGAGATGTCTGCTAGAAATTTATTCTGAGACCAGCAAACTAATTTCAAACAGGCATCACTACTGAGCCACCACAGTTTAGTCAAATGACGCAGATTGGAAACTCTCGCCCATCATCGTATCTCTGAGCTATCCAGTCCCCTATTTGTTTAAAGTTTTATGAAAGGGAAGACTTGGCCCATTTTCATTTGGAAAATGCCATGCTAGCTCCCATCAGTGATCTGTACATCTGCTGTACTACCATGTCAAAAACAATGAGGAGTCCTTGTGGCACCTTAGAGACTAACACATTTATTTGGGCATAAGCTTTCATGGGCTAAAACCCACTTCACCAGATGCATGGAGTGAAAAATACAGTAGGTAGTGTATATATATTACAGCACATGAAAAGATAGGAGTTGCCTTACCAAGTGGGGGGTCAGTGCTAACCAGGCCAATTCAATCAAGGTGGAATTGGCCTATTCTCAACAGTTGACAAGAAGGTGTGAGTATCAACAGAGGGAAAATTACTTTTTGTAGTGACCCCTCCACTCGCAGTCTTTATTCAGGCCTAATTTGACGGTGTCCAGTTTGCCAGTTAATTCCAGTTCTGCAGTTTCTTGTTGAAGTCTGTTTCTGAAATTTTTTTTTGTTGAAGAATTGCCACTTTTAAGTCTGCTATTGAGTGCCCGGGGAGATTGAAGTGTTCTCCGCCTGGTTTTTGAATTTTACAATTCTTGATGTCTGATTTGTGTCCATTTATTCTTTTGCGTAGAGACTGTCTGGTTTGGCCAATGTACATGGCAGAAGGGCATTGCTGGCACATGATGGCATATATCACATTGGTAGATGTGCAGGTGAACAAGCCCCTGATGGTGTGGCTGATGTGGTTAGGTCCTATGATGGTGTCCCTTGAATAAATATGAGGACAGAATTGGCAACGGGGTTTGTTGCAGGGATTGGTTCCTGGGTTAGTGTTTTGTTCGTGTGGTGTGTAGTTGCTGGTGAGTATTTGCTTCAGGTTGGGGGGCTGTCTGTAAGCAAGGACTGGCCTGTCTCCCAAGGTCTGTGAGAGTGAGGGACCATCCTTCAGAATAGGTTGTAGATCCTTGCTGATGCACTGGAGAGATTTTAGTTGGGGGCCATCAGTGACAGCTAGTGGTGTTCTGTTACTTTCTTTGTTGAGCCTGTCCTGTAGTAGGTGACTTCTGGGTCTCACTCTGTCAATCTGTTTCCTCACTTCCCCAGATGGGTATTGTAGTTTTAAGAATGCTTGATAGAGATCCTGTAGGTGTTTGTCTCTGTCTGAGGGATTGGAGCAAATGTGGTTGTATCTTTGGGGTTGGCTATACACAATGGATCGTGTGATGTGGTCTGGATGAAAGCTGGAGGCATGTAGGCAAGTATAGTGGTCAGTAGGTTTCCAGTATAGGGTAGTGTTTATGTGACCATGACTTATTTGCACTGTAGTGTCTATGAAGTGGATCTCTTGTGTGGACTGTGGAGAATAGGCCTCTTCCACCTTGATTGAATTGGCCTCGTTAACACTGACCCTCCACTTGGTAAGGCAAATCCCATCATTTCATGTGCTGTAATATATATACTGTATTTTTCACTGCATGCATCTGATGAAGTGGGCGATAGCCCACAAAAGCTTATACCCAAAAAAATTTGTTAGTCTCTAAGGTGCCACAAGGACTCCTCGTTGTTTTTGCTGATACAGACTAACACGGCTACCACTCTGAAACCAACTGCCATGTCAGTGGCAAAGTAGTGCAATTCAAGAGCAGTTCCATTCAATAGAATAGATCCTACCCTTGACAATTCTGTGTTTCACAAAGGTACTACTGTCTGGAGATTAATTTGTTTTTAAACACACACACACGGATTTACATGATTTACAGCTATTGGAATTAGACTACAAAGCTGCTTGCATTCATGATCAGATTATGTAAATATGTACACATTGTGAGTAATATCATTAATATAAATTCCTTATATATTTGAATTTTGTAGGCAAGTCTACTTTAGGCTGCATTTTAATGAGAATTGCTGACAGACTGAATTCTTGCAACTACTTAGATGAAAGAAGAGGAGAGTAAAAGGGAGATAATTTTTTTTAAAAAGTATACCTGCCCACTTTCTGCAGAGGGTGGTAAATTCATTAATCAGAATGCACCACTACATTTAACTATCCATGCCTAAAAGATGGGTTATCATGCATGGACGATGTATCAAATAAAGAAAAATCATAACTGATATGTGCATTGTAAATTAAATACATTTGTAGGATCATGTGTGTTTTTGCATTCGTATGTGATACTGTGTTCTTGTACAGGTGCAAAAGTGAATGAGCTAACTATGAAAACATCAAGAAGGAGCTCGGTACCAGCAGCTAAACACGCCAGAGGCCAGCTTAATTTATGAAGGCTGTTAACAGTGGCTGTCTTCATTTACACAGACCATCGTAGTGGAAGAGGCAGAACAGGAGAATTATGCCTCTCTTTGTCTCCCTGGTTTCCACACTTCTTGACCAACTTACCCCTTAGCATATCTCCAAGCTATTCAGAGACTGATGTTTTGCTGACCAAGTCCTATGCATGCATAAGTTAAACAAGAAAATACATTTATTTACCTACCACGATGACTACTTTGAAAAATTACTGAGAAATTAAAATAAAACTTTCTAAAAAGAAATTAGTAGGCCATATTATGCCACTGGCTTCTGGAAGAACTCTTCAGTGATTGCCGTGGAGATATAGTACAACATAGCCCATTGTATGTAAAAATACAAGAAAACAGAAACAGTCCGCAGCATAAACATTTTTGTTGCTTGTCTGCATTTCTGGCAAATGATTTCTCTGTCTCTTATCTGTCAAGAAGCTTGAGTTACCAGGCTCAAGATTAATACAGACTTTATTTTATTCCCTCTCTTTATAGGATACGACTCTGGATATTGGCACCGTCATCAATTTTCTCACCCATTTCTCACCCCTCTTCCTGCCCCCCGCCCTCGCCCCCCAAAAAAACCCCAACCCTTACTGGTGTGAACAACTGAAAGGAGGAAAAATTGCCATCATATGACAAAATGCAATGTACAGATTTCTCATAAGGTATTTATTTTTGCAACAGAAGTGGAAATGTATGAGTAGCAACAAAATGTGCTTATGTGATATGTTCATGCTGATTATATTTGAAACATTGCTTCAAGGTCAGTCGATATGGGGGAAAAAATCAGTCTTATACTTGCCTTACATTTACACCTCTGTCTCCTGGTTGTCTTGGTTTCCTGTAAAGGCAACATGAGCTATGCAAAAATAATCCATATACTGTCCATACAGTACAGGTTTTTATGTAGAAGAAGCAAAAATAGGAACAGTTTGCCAATGAACATCTGTTCCGCAAACATTTTACCATCAGATGCTCTAGATTGGAAACTCCTTCTCTGCCTCTCTGGCAGGGCAAGCGGGAGGGAAAATATATAGAAGTAACTATGTCTCGGGTAAATGTAAACACAAAGGGTTCTGTTTGCCCATGGATGCTCGGGAATAGAAGTATCCAAATTTGACCTGTCTGTCACTTCACCTGGAATGGTCCCTTAGAATATGTTTAGCATTAGTAGTTAGGACAATCTGTTTGATCTTGTATTTAGCTGTGACACTCTGAGTACCTTTCCCAGACCTGAAGAAGAGCTCTGTGTAGCTCAAAAGCTTGTGTCTCTCACCGACAGAAGTTGGTCCGTCCAATAAAAGATATTACCTCACCCATTTTGTCTCTTGAAGTTATGAGAAGCATTCTAACAGGATTGACCAGCACAGATATATTGGATAGCTTGATTATGAACTTTATTCTTAGTTCTGCTTTCTCCTTTCTCTTATGTAAGTTAAGTATTACATAAGGAAGTCAAGAAATACAATCATGAGCAGCATCTAGTGTTGCTAAGTCCTTTT